ACCTGCTCGGAAAGATCAGAGCAAACCCAGTTAATAAAGAGGCAGAGTCTGAGTGGTCTGATGCATGCACTGAGTCACTACAAACAAATTCAAGACAGCCTTCAAAAGATATCATGGCTACTTTAAAGAAGGTAAGTCTAGCTTAGTATCTTACACTTCCTTGATAGTGCTAACTACTACTATATCTAGATTCGTGGGCTAGCTGTGTTCATCAATGCTAGTCCACAGCGCCGGGAAGCTTTTCTGGCTCTACAGACTGCAGTGCCAAAGCTTCTTCCAGTTCAAGATGTTCGCACGTGCTGGAATTCTACTTTCTTGATGCTTGACTGTGCTAGGAAGCTCCAACAGGTCTTTGACCAGTACTGCACAATACATCAATATGTTCAATTCAAGCTTGACCAAGAAGAATGGCGCCAAGTGGATTATCTGCTTTTAATCACAAAGCCTTTCTTTGATTTGACTAATGTCCTATCAAAGACTCGGGATGTTACAGTTCACCATGTTTTCAGCATTTACAACAAGCTCTTTAGCCACCTTGATGCTGCCGAGAAGAAACTGAAATGCAAAGCTGTTCCCTGGAAGAAGAAAATGCTTCGGGCACTTCAAGCTGCAAAGGAAAAACTCTCAAAGTATTACTATGCAACAGATAAGGAGTCATATGGTATAGTATATGCAATTGCAACAATTCTTTGTCCCTCAAAGAAGCTTCGCTACTTTGACAGCAAGGACTGGCGAGGAGAAGATGAGGATGGGAACTGTGTTGATTTTATGAAAACCTATCAGGATGTGCTACAGAAGGAGTTTAACTGATATCAACAGCAAGTAGTGCCTCAAGCAGCGCCAGTGAATATCCAGGCATCTCAAGATCCTATCGAAAATGAGCTTGAGCTTATGATGGATTCTCAGACCTCTCTCCAAGCCGAAGTGGATCAACCAGAGGATGAGATCACGTGATATCTCGCTAAAGGTTAGCACATCTATCCATTATGCTATTCTAATACTAACCCATTCCTTAGGACTTACCAAGGGGCACCCTCGTCTCTTTTGGAAAGAGCATGAACATGAGTATCCTGTGCTTGCAAGGATAGCACGGGATATCCTCTCAACACCTGCCAGTGGTGCTGGTGTTGAAAGGCTCTTCAATTGTGCTCGTGATGTCTGCCACTATCGTCGGGGGCAACTAAAACCAGACACAATCAAAGGCTTGATGCTCCATTTATTCTCATCAAAGTTTGAGCTTGAACAAAGCGAGCTAGAGATGATCAAGGAGCATTTGTCTAGTGGAGAGGCTGCTATGCTTGATCAGATATGGAAGCCTGTGCCATCTCTCAATGAAGTTGAGCCGATCAGTGATGATGAAGAAGAGGGCTGCAAGGGCAACAATCTATCTGATGATTTGAATAGTTCAGATGATGATAATTCAGAGGAAGAATTGACTCTCACACAAATTACAACTCAGAGGAAGCAAGAACGACGCAAGCGGCCTTGGTATAAGACCTCTGAGCTTCAAGATGATGGAGATAATGGCTTCCCACTTCCTGAAATGGCAACTGAAAGGAGCACGCAGGCGCGGTCAGGCAGGATTTGGAAGAAGCCAAAGCTGCCGGATGGATTTGAGATTGATAGACTGTAATAGTAGCAAGAATTTTTCTCCGCAGAAAAGACCAAAGAAACTGCATTTCATCTGAAATCAATCTTACCAAAGAATTCCTTTCCAGCTTATTTCCTCGGAAATCATTAAATAAAGAACTGCTTGACCACCACCTCGACCAAAATGCATTAAATAAAGCAATAGTTCCCAGAATGATTTCGAGGAAATCAGTTACACACTGAATACGTCAAAAATACCGCGAAGAATGCATAATCTATGCAGTCTCCTCTAGGTCATGAGCCTTGGCATATTTGTAGTGTTTGATATACTGTTGGATATCCAAAAGATATCCAACAGATCGAGTTGGACATCCAAGTCTCATCGCTGCGGATGGTTGGATGTCAAATTGGCATCCAAGTCCGCAATCTGCGGATGTGATAGTTTGATATCATATGATCCGTTGGATGCTGCCGCAGCCTAATCATGCTCAATGTATTGGAGAATATTTCTGGCTGAAAGACAGATCATACAGAACTCTGGTCTGCCCTTTGCACAGCATGGCCCAGCAGTCGGCGTCAAACGTTAGGGCACCCTTATCATTGACTGAGATCTGGACTTTCTGAGGGTTTCCTTTGCTGTTGCCAACACCATTGGCTTTTCTGGCTTCTAGACCTCGTGTCTCCAGGCCTGTCGACTCCGTATTGTTAACTGGAGCTGCTAGAGCCAGTTGGGAGCTAGCAGCAACGAGTAACACGGTGAGGGTCTGTGCAAGCTTCATTATGAATAATTTGGGCTCTGAATAGTCTGCGTCCTTGAAATATATTATAACTAGTTTGATTGTGAATATTCAACTACTTGGCTGGTAACCTGCTTGAACTTATACATGCTTTCGCGACACGACAAGGCTCCTTCAAAATGGCCCCCGTTTCAGCATGATAACTGATATGAACTATTTTTGAAACTAGAGTGCCTTGTAATTCCTTCCAGGCAAACTGCCAACTGCCATATCGAAAGCTAGGAAGCTGTTGATGGTGATGGGGGCGGGACGATCAGGCAGATTCGGCGGTGCGCCTCGCTCAGCCTGAACTACCAGCCAGTCCCCGCACGGAACGTGACATCTAAATATAGCCTGTTTTATAGTCGTATATTATTCTTTTCAGTCGAATAAACCACATTAAAATTCCACTACCAGAATCCTTTCACTCTTGATATTAACTATGTCGGGCATACTTCTCTTCTGCACGGCCCAAATGCCGGCCTCGGTACGCCCCGCAGCCCCCTCCCCCAATCTGCACCTTTGACATGCTAAACTAAACGCGACCATAGGTAGTCAATCGTCTAATGACCGACTGCACCATTCCATCCCTCGCATCCAACATCTTCAGTCTAGTTCGCGATCCTGACCAGTCCACTCTCGACAATCCAAATTCCGACCCTCCTATTGAAGATTTCCAAACGGGCTTTAAAGGATACTCCGACACCGACCTCCGACAATATGCCAAACAGCGCACTACCGATCTCAGACGCCAGAGAAATCACAGTCTAGTTGCGGAATGGATTGCAGTTCTGGATCAGAGATCCGTGGAAGAAGGGAATGTTGTCATGCATCATTTCATGGAGAAGTCGGCGTGGGAAGACATGTTGCAGGACGCAGAGCAGGAGGTGTGCATCCCAGGCCAGGCGGAGGTAAATGAGGCAGAGGACTCAATATGGTGGAAGTGGAGAGTGCCATTTGTGTCGGCATTTCAGCTCTGGAATAGTGTGGAGAGTTTGGAATGGGCGGGCCTTGAGTTGTACTCTAGGCCGGAGTATTTGGGCGAGGATGGGATCGTGCAGACGCATATTCCGGATCAGATTGTGGGGGGGGATTTAGTTGATCCTAAGCATGTGTTATAGTGTGGATATGGTAGTTTTGCTTTGCCACTAGCTCTAAAACTCTGCAAGTGGAGTTATGCTACCAGGAAAACGCTTGTCCACACGCGAGCCTTCTGCTTGAATGCCATTCATCATTCAATGATGGTCCATCAGGTCGCTATATATAGTTTGAATAAAAACCATAGAACTTGGCGGCGGCCGTAGGATCCGGAGCCGCTCGAGATGGCTTACGTTATGCTCCATTTAGACTTTTCTTGCTCTGCCAGCAGCTCCTGGGGTTGAACTTGAGGGTGCTGCTGTTGCGTAGAGCTATCTTGAGCACCAACACTATCCAGCGCCTCGAGCGGTTCCGGTTGGAACAGGGCCTCGAAAGTCTGGCTGTCTCCCAGAGAACATTTATTTCGACCTGATTTCGGAAGAATGGCATCTTTATGGAAAACAGTCTCTTTTAGAGATTGTACTTGAGGTGGCTGAGATGGCGGCTGGGGCTTCACAGACGCTTTCCATATGTACTGAGGCCATTGTGGTTCAGGATGGGCATGAGAGAGCTGCTGCAGGGGCTGTCCAGAATTTGAGCGGTTCTGGGGCACGCTCATCAGCTGCTGCGATTGAAACCCTTGTTGAGACAATCCCCGTACAACCTCATCAAATCGCTTCTCCACAGGCTGTTTGTGCTGTTTCTGGCGACTTTGAGGCTGGCTCTGAGGCTTCGCTTGTGGCTGCGGTGGTCGCAGTCGATCTCTGGGTAACTGTTGTCGAGCTCGCTCCTGTGGCAGAGACCGTCCTGTCGGGGACCAGGGTGCCCTTTTTGACTAATGCGGCGATAGTTGTGGAGATATGCTGGGGGTCCATTTCGCATCAAAACACACTCAAAGTCGATAACGCTCTAAAAGGCAAAGAGGATAACGCGCTATAACTATGTTAAGAAGCCACAATTCGAATTCGGGAATGGTTGATGTTCTGTTAAAACGGTTGTCGGTCTCAAGGCTGTGTCAACGCTGAGCTGACAGCGATCTTCCCTTCGGCCCCATGAGGCTGAACTAACAGATTATCACAGCTTCTGAGGAGAACAAGGATAATGACAAGAAGTGGAAGGCTGCAGTGAATGATTGCAAGTCCACCGTCGATCTCATGGAAAAGTCCCTTTGAATTGCACTCGAATCTTGTAAATTATGTACTGGCCGGGGCGTTAACATATTAGTGTTGGAGTTTGGCTTGCTTTTCCTGTGTTTTTGGATCCTTTCCTTTTGTTTGGTTGTGTGAAATTCCAAGCTTGAAATAGATGAAGTATGCATTTATGTTCAATGTTACTACCCCTAATTAACGTATTTCCCAACAGCGCGGCACATCAAAATCAGTACCCAAGAAAAACACGTCTTTTTCACGCGTCAATCGACTGATATGGGCCTCCTGGCACCTATAAACCACCATGGAGGCACTGAGATCCCATGGTGGTGGTGTATCGCACGCGTCACCCCCCGGAGTGGGCAATGTGGCCTCCCAGTTCGCGGAAACACAAGACACGCCAGTCACCCCAACGCCAACCTGTTGGCAATCTGGGAACGTGATGCAGCCCGTAATTAATGATGGCAGCACAGAGAGTATGAACATGGATGAAAATGAGGGCCATGAGCGCTGGCAACCCAAGGGCTCCAGCAGGGCCCGCAGCCGGGCCAGCGAGGCTAGAAGCGGAATCAGGCAATGAAAGTCTCTACAAAAGTCATTGATGGGCAGGCCAAAGCATCAAACTTTCCTGCTGGACGTGAGCAAGCAAGCTCAGGCGTTGGTGGAGGCCTTGAAAGCAGCCCAGACACAGCAACAAGAAATATATCAGATGGTCCAGGAACAGGTACAGGCACACCTGGCGGAAGAGCTATCCAACTGGAGAGCAGAACAACAGATTCATGAAGAAATCTATCTTGAGCGGATTACAAAGCTGGAGCAGGAAGTCAGTAAGCTTCGCACAGAGCTTACAGAGGCCCAGCGCACCGTCCAGCAGCCTGTCACGAGCTCAGAATCACATACATGGAATCGCTACAGACAATACTGCCGGAAAGGACTGGGTTTCTATCTCGCTCAGGTGTATGGCAAATGAGCTGGATCCACCTCTGAAGCAGGACTCAGGCATGATGATGATCGACCGACACAAAACTTGCTGATGTGGCCAGAAGCACAGTATGTGACACGATCGCGTCTAACACCAGGCTCATGTATGTGTTGCTATCCCCAGTGATGGCCGCAGGGGCGTGCCTGGATCTGAGCAGAACCGTAACTCATCCTCTTAGATTGTAAACGGTTAAGAATGCCAATATCGTATGTCTATTCCTGCCAAGCGTTAATCTGCTTTCTTGTTGAGGGTTGTACGCCAGTGTACCTGTATCGCGCCTAAAGTCCTCCCTGGATAGCGCTCCGAGAATAACCTTGCAACCTCTGACCAAGACCGACTTTCTTCCTTTCTCAGCTTCAGCAGAAGGCTCGCCTCTTCCATGGACCATGGCATATTCTTTCTGGAGCCTCCTCGGGCCTTTGTACGATTACGCCGATTTTGTTCAATCTCATGCGGGGTACTTGAGCAACTGGTTGCCAGCGCATCTCTCTCTTCACATGCTGTCAGTGAAGAGCTAGGCATGCAATGTGGTAGAGCACCTTCGAATAGCCAAGAAAGGAATTGCAAACGATCATCAAGTGGGGCAGACATGAAGTGAGAGCGAAGCGTAAAGGAATCCTCCCTGGTCAGCAACATTGATGGAACTGGAAGCCATTTGTGAGCTCGCCCATCTGATTGTTGCGTCTTCCGCTTAGAACTTTTTGACTGTCCACCGACGTGATGGTCCCCGCGGACACCATCGGGGTAGAAAGCGTCGGGATCGGTGTTATGTTGGAAGGGGTGCAGTTGTTGATGATCATGGATGTGAGAGTGGTCACTTGTTTGAGTATCGCCGTTCTGGTCACCAGCCTTTTCGCATGAACCTTGATGATAGCTAGGTGGGCTGTGAAGAACGGGTGGAGGGTCAGGATATGAACAAGTCATCTCTGAATTGATGAAGCTGTCGGCTTGTGGGACAGATTGCTGGAGGCTGCCATCCTCCCAAGGCAAGTGGTTGGAAAGGATTGCCGGGTCGATGGGAATGTCGTCCTGTGCATCCGGAAGCCTGAAGAACTCTTCTAGACTGTCATCCGAGCTAGATATACTGGGAGATGATAGAGCATTCTCTGCTGAATCTCCCCGGAAGGCGGGCGGCTTGATTGGGATATCAGTGTCGTCTTGAATATCGCAGCGGGGAATTGGATCCGGATCTGAGAAGTGAGGCGCTGAATCATGGGAAGATGTTGTGCCGTGCTCAGGAGTCTCCGGATATGTATTCTGTTCTGGTACAGATATTTCCAGTGGTTGAGATTGAGAGCTTGATGATGTACACGACTGAGTGTTTGCATTGATATGCACGCAAACTTCGGCTGGTGGCCGTGCAGGGAGATTATGCTTAGGAAGTGGCAAAGTGCTTGGAAGGGAGTCATGATAAGGCTTGGGGCGAGGGGATTTTTGGGTTCTTGGGGTGTATGGATTGGGTGATTTGTATGGTGAGAATGGCTTTCTGTAAGAGCGAGCCCACGGCTTGAAGTTGTTCATGTGAAAGGTAGGGGGCATATTTTAGGAAATGGGGATATTTAGGGATATATTGTGACAGACAGGTGATTGGAAAGAGGGAAGAGGAGGGGAGTGGAAGCTGAAGGGAAGAGTGCGGGTTGTGGGAGAATTGAGTTGAGATGTTGCAACCTCTGCAACCTCAATTGTCCTCTTTACACTTGCCCTCGGTCTGCCAAGTCTACCATTCCACCTTTCTCATCAAAACAGAAGCAATGAGGCGAATTTCTCTCGTCCTGAAAATCACATCTGCTGACGTGTCTATTTTCATCTACTAGTGACACCTGGAGGCCGAGATCCAGTGCCCTGCGCCAATCGCATCTGGGTGTTGCAGCTCCAAGCCTCGCATGTCAAACATGCTGAAATAAAAAGGATGCAGTAATTTCGCTATTGGCTGGTAAACATGGCGACAATATGTAAATGAATTGATCCTGGTGGGGTCGAAAGACGGCTGTGGAGGGGGAGAGGTGCCCTCCAGTTCACAGCCAGACCTGGATGCTGGATAACCAGGAAGTTCCCTATCCCATGTCGAAACTCAGGAGCTTGACCGAAGAATAAACCATGAGATTTCAAGATAAAAGACCATAGCAGGGCAGCTGAGCATCCAGAAGTCCTCAAGGGAAAGCCCAAATAGGATGGCACGGCCGGAAGCAACAGCCAAAAACTCAAAAGTCGCTGATCAGCTGGCGGACCAAGCATGAAGGGGCCCATAACTGCAATCATAAGCAGCAGCACAGCACCAGGGGGTGATGTGGATAGGTCGATTTCCAATGAAGCGACAGTAACAAGGTCTCAATGTCTCAATCGTTCAGATGACCGTCGGCCACTCCGGCGCCATATTGGAAAAGGGTAATTGTCGGGTAACGCGGCATCTTGGTAAGAGGGCAGTGCACCGGGCGAGACAGACAGGAGAGGGAAAAAGAAGAGAGAAAGTGCATGGTTCTTTGAGGGGGAGATATCGGGCTTTTATAGGTGCAATGGATGTGTTGAGGCGGCATGTGAGCAGCCTAAAAGCAGCACAAGGCGGCGCTATCCCTGATACAGTGGACGCCATACCGCAAAGGGCAATGGTATTCCCGTCGACGGCAGGCGGTAGGGCTCAGCAGAAGGATGGTTCAATGGGAGCCGTTTCTGGCGCCCCGCTAACCGTCACAACTTATACTCAGAAACAGACAATAAAACAATCCAACCAAGAGGAATTTTAAAAATTTGGCTACAGATGTGGAATCAGATACATTCTGATATCTTTCTACTCCAACTGGCAATCGTCCATCACACATATACAACTCAGCGCATATATACTTAAAAACCATGAAGGATCAGATAAAGTAGAGCCAAATAAACCGCATAACAAGCTCCTCTGAGACACAAAGCTTGCTTAGTGCAAATCAGCCTCTTTAGTACAAAGCACAAGCATAGGCGTCTAGAGATAACGTCAAGTTAACCTAGAGCCATCATGTTTTAGCGGAGTTTACAATCTGACGGAGTTTTGCTACGTCGCATACGTGAAGGCATGCTCGGGAGGCTGCCAGGATGAAGTCTTCTGTGGCTTCGCGGAACTCAGATAGAAGGCGCTCTTGCTCAAATGATGGATGCGGTCGAATCATACGATGCGATCTGGTGGTCTTTAGGGATTCTTTTGAAGAGCATGGTGATATTACATAATAAGTAAAAGTGTGCGCGTTGACAAAATAATCTGCTAGTAAATTGGAGTAGGCTATAGTAGAGGACTACCGGCGCCTGCTCACTACGTCATTCAATTGAATGTTCTGCCCAGTGAATAAACTAGGTTGGAAAAGTTCCTTGAATATATACAGAGCAAATTTCTATCAACTCCGGCAAACAATGTCAATAACCAATAGAATTGACGGTACATCTATTTCCAGTCACTCCAGAGTGGATTCCAGTCTTTTTGGCAGGAGTAAAATGGTGAGTCAACAACCAAATTAGTGGAAACTTCTGTGGAGGCATCCACTATCTCTCCGCATTGGTCTAAGTGTAAACCTGACGCTTGGGCATTAGGGAGGGTAGGGTTGGTTAGGGAATGGAATGAATGTGACCCCATACCAACGGTTAATCCCAGACTGATGGTAGGTCCCAATCCGATAGGCGCTTTATTTAATGAAGAGGTATTTATTGGCAGCGGCCTTGGAGTGCGTCAAAGTAACCAAGCAGTACTCCGCTATTTGCATCGTTTACGAGTTGACAAAGTTTTGTCATGTCGCACACTTGTAAGCACACCCACAGTGCTGCTGAGACAAAGTTCGTTCCTGTGGCCTTGCGCAACTTTGAGAGCAACCGTTGTTGCTCAGAACATAGAATACTGAAGGCTTCATCGAATATGGTGCTGGATGGTCTGGGTCGATGGAACGGCTATGTTTCGGTGTAGCTTGTGAACCACATACTGGTGGTGGATCGTATTGATAAAAGTGCGGTAACGAGCTGAGCTTGTTAATGCCGAAAGAGAATGTGCTAAGAAGTAGGGATAGTAAAAGATGGCCGGTGTCTGTTTACGAAGTTATTTCTTAACATCATTAAATTGAGCTGTCTATCTAGTATCGGAAAATATAGAATCTTGCTTCTGTGTCTATATACAGAGCCACTGCCGTATACCTGGTATAGCTCTATGTCCTGCTGAAGCTGAGATAACGAACACCAGGCATAACCAATCACTCCTTTTGCACACGCTCCATCGGCCATTCTATCCACCCCAACAAATCAGCCGGCAAAAACGCACAAACCCCATTCAACACATGCTCCCCCCACCCCCTCATAAACCACACAGACTCCATATACTTCAATAGCCCAGCCCAATGCGCAAGAATGACGAGCGCCAATGGATTCTTCCGCTCCAACTCTGCCACGAAGTCCCGAGGCAGGCGATATAGCCATCCTATTAATATGTGCATTAAACCAACGGCTGGCTTGTGAAGGGAGCGTTTCTGGTATACTTCTTCCAGGGTGGATGTTAGGTTGTCGATAGCCGATACGTACATGACCCGGTCTCCCGCGTCCCATGAATGCTGTATATCGACGAGGCGCTGAAGGCCTTGGACTTGTGCGGTGTACTCCTGCATTTCATTTTGCATTGATGGGCTCATGTTTGGGATGTCAGAGCTTGGCTTGGGCTCTAAAACCCCGCTAAACACCTTTTTACGGTGAGATTCCAAAATCAACTTCACGCCGTGCATGAGAACCAGCCATTCCGCGGGGCCATTGTCGCTGAAAACAAGATACTCCCCTGGTCGGGGCCCTCGTCCAAAGTATGCGAAACAGATCATCACGGCAGATATATACACTTTTTGACATGTGTCTGCGTTGAGTTCGGAGAGCACTGCTGTGACGGATTGGACTCCGAATGTGAAATGGTCGTCGGCTTGTTGGAGATACTGCACCCGCAAGGCCGGTTTCCCGTGACCCATGTGCAATGCTGATAGTGCCAATAGGAGATGCATAATTGAAGGGAACTCAAAAGCCCATTGCACGACGTGATTCTGCCAGACAGCGCGCCCATGATCGTCGTCAACCGTGGTGGGGATTGTAGAGACGAGAAAGTGGTGGAAGAGTTGAAGGTCAACCATTGAGATGGATTCCATGCTCGCTTCAGTAGAAACATCTTTATATGGCATTTCTGTGGTCTTTAAGGCTGGTGATTGGGCCGTTCTATTCGAGATCTCAGTTGTATATTGAGAGGTTCGGAACCGGTACTTTTTTTCTTGAGGACGCCGTTCACTAGGCGATAAGGATCCGGATGCAGCGGAAGATAACTCGGAGCTTTCACGCGCAGAAAAAGTGCATTCGACCTCATGGTTGGCGCAGTTTGTGCAGATGGGCTTTTTCTCGTCACACTGGCGGGAGTCAGTGTCGGTGCTCACAGATGGAAGACGAATCCTCCGCTGGGGATAACAAAATAGCGAGAGCAGAGTATCCAGCATGATTGATAAATTCAAGCTGCAACAAACAAAGCAAAGAGAAAAACGGAAATGAGGCCCAAGATAGAGGAAAGTGGGCTATCAATGCATGAAATACTGCGAGAAAAAAGGGAGATCGCCACTCACCTTAATACGCCTCCGCTTACAATTACTGCATCCCGAGCGCGATTTGTGATGTGTGCGCCGTGATCTCACAAGTCTCGTCATTGTCTAGAGTTCTGAAGGAATTCTCTATTTCGTAGTCGTATTCGTTTTCTTTTATACCCGATTGAGATGTGGGTCGGTAGTCTACCCGTGGGAGGTAAAAATAGAAATCTTGATATGCTCCATAAGTATGGTCCAATTAAGGACTGATATGTTTTTGTGTCTTACGAGGGCGCGGCGAGAAAGAATGGGTGATATATAGCTTGTCAAGGAGGGCCAATGCTCACGGGGGAGGACTTTTCTGGGTTTCCATGGTTTTTTCTTTCTTTTCCTCCGCGTTTTTGCGGTGTTTTAGCCACTGGTTCTGGCCTCAAATATAGTGCGGTCGTTGCTATCCACAATGCATAGACATAGGTTGAATTAAATAAGTGCCGTGCCACTCTGTACAATGTGCAATGACATGAATGATGGGGGTGAAACGCTATATCTCCCTCGAACACATGACCTCATAAAAAAACATGCAAGCCCTATCTGCATCGAATAAGTCCTTCCTAATAAGTACTTCCCCCTCTACCCACCTACCCTCCCCAACCCTCCCCTCAACTCCCTTAAACCTCTCCTCAACCCCCGGTAAGCCCCCTGGCTCGGATACGCAACCAACCCCATCGTCGCGCTCCCCGTTTTCACCGTCAAACTAACAAGTCCTTTCATCAATCCCTTCGCAACACCCACCGCGCCCTGGTCTTTCTTCGCACGGTACGTATGTACAAAGATATCCGTGACGCCTTCGTAGACGCCGTACATGAAGGTGGACCAGGCAACTGCCGCGCCGGTTTCAAAGGATGTTATGGGGTTGTGGTCGCGCACGGGGCCGCCGTAGAGGTGCAGGAGGGACCGCATGCCTTCCGTTGCAGCAATGGGGACGCCGAGGAGGGCGCCGCGGGAGACACGGCCGAGGAACTTGCCTAGGCTGGTGATGGAGAGGAGGGTCATTTGGCGGGTGTGGTTTGGATTGCCGGTTTGGGAATCTGTAGTGAGTGTGCCTTCCGGGTCTGACATTGAGCGATGGCGTTTATATTCGCGGTAAGGGTCAAGGATTATGCCTGCTGTGGCATCGGCCATGCCGCTCATTGTTGATAGTGAGGCTGATGACATGGCTGTGAGAGGGTCCCATCGTCGAATATTGATTACGATGGGCTTTGTTTCGAGACTACCTCTTGCTAGCCCGTCTGTTATGCTGTACCATGGTTTCGTAGCATACTCACCGTTTTAAATGCTTTCTCTGGAGACGTCCTTCGCGTACTAAAGCACAAGCTGCAACTTTTTACAAGCGTATTGTTGCCGTCCCGCGTTTGATCCCCCAGACAGCAGGTTGATCAGGAAGTATATCACATTGCATCTCGCTCCGCGGAAGATGAGCGTCGAATCAGTGGACTGCAGCCCGAACTCCAAATTCTTGATTCATTTTTCTAGCTAAATCTTGCACCGCAACTGCAACAGAGGTTGTTAGACAGAACTTGATTGCATCCACTAGGTTCTCTACCGTAAGGGACTTTTGTGGAATAGGGCTCGGGCCCACGCCTGCGGAAGCTACGACGCTTCCCCCAGAATGTTTGACTAGAAGTTATTAAGCATCAGCCATAAGGATATTGATATCATCATGAAGAGGAGAACATACTCTCCGAAAAATGGAACAATCACGGTCGGTTTCCCATACCGCAACCCACAAGCAGTCGTACCAGCGCCAACATGGTGCATTACAGCAGCCACATGCTGAAACAGCCGTTCATGAGGACGGTCCCCAATGTAATAAACATTTGAATTCCCGGGCGCTTCGAAGTTAGACCATCCACGGGAGATTATGGCTCGTACACCGGCCATTCCGACTGCTTGTAGAAGAGTAGACAACATTTCCTCTGGATTTTCGACAACGATGCTTCCGAAGCCAATGTAAATTGGAGTATCACCTGCGTCAAGGAATACGACGAGGTCTGCTGGTGGGTCATAGGCAGGCAGTTCTCTGAAGAAGAAGCCACAGACATCTGATCTTGTTAGAAATGAAATGATGGGATGCATGGGAAGAACTTACCTATGTGAGACCCCCAATCCGGTGGCTTTTCAATTAATGTCGGAGACCAGCAATAAGTGAACGACACCTGCAGAGTCGCTGTAAGATTCGGCCCTTCTGTAGCTGGTACAGGCTCCAGCTCAAGCACATTTCTGCACCAACCGTTAATCAAGTCCGCCAGACTGCAGTCGCACAAGTCAGTAATATGGCCTGTTAATCCAAGAAAGCAGCAAACCCCTGCCAAGTCAACCACTCAACAAAATGATACGAAATCAAATTCCTCAAACATGGATCACTACCTGAGTACCTCAAGTTCGCCAAAGGATGCGGAAACCTCCTCGTACTTGTCCATGGCATAGTAAACATAAGATGCACAGGTACACCCAGCGCCTGCGCACAATGCACATGTGCGAAACTAGGCGGATTTGCGATAATCGCATCTGCCGCAAACGGTTCCCAGAATGCGTATCAGGCTTGATACATGACTACCAGCTACCATCGAGTATCTGCGCGATGATGGCACGTTTCTTTTGGATGTCGCCTGCCCGCAGGCTTTTCATGCTTGGGATTAGGTCTGGATTACGAACCATGTAGGACATTGGTTCGGCAGGATCCCCACTGAGAGGGTAGAGCTCGAGACTAGTGCTTGTGACAAAGTGCTCGAAGGTTACATGGGTGGCCAGTCGGACCCGGTGGCCGTGTTTTTGGAGTCCTGCGCCGAGGGCAATGAAGGGCTGCACGTCGCCACGGCTGCCGACGATTTGGATGACGATATTGAGTTTGATAGGCCATGTTTGTTGTTGGCATGGCCTAGAGGTTTCATGTTTGTCTGTGGGTTGTCTGGTGCTGCTGCGGCGCATTAACCATTCCACGTTCCGGCTGAACCTTTGTCCAACTCGGACATCCACGCATCCGTCATTGGTAGTCGAGACTTCTGGAAGAGGCGCAGCGGGATGGAGCGGGACGTATGAGGCAGGCAAGCTTGCTGTGTCTGGACTCGCGGGGGAGATCGCCTCGTAGGGTGTAGGTGGTTGCTGTCAACGGAATTGGCATGGCGTGTTTGCCATTTCAGTCACTGCTGTATATCCTTAGTTCTTCCGAATGAGGTCATGTGATAATTAGGAAACGAGAGATGTAATCCCCTAAGCAAGGAAGGGGAAATAGAAGAAAAAGAGAATTCCAAGCACGGGCAAACAATTAGATACACTGAAGGTCCACGTTCTACATGAACGTTTCTTCTATAGATATCCACGGAAGAACCTCATCAGCCCCGTGGAACCCCTATCATTCTACTGCTTTTATCCGAATAATGTCCGGAAGGACCAAATATAGAAGGTTTCAACAGAGATAGACTTTTTCGCAGAGCCCTGGAAGGGGTTCCAAACAGCGCTAATGCTGCATCCCGATTATCATTCCGCTTCTGGACATCCCGCTTCAACGGGATTGGGCGTCGTGTTACGAGTACGATAGAATTACTGGATTTAGTTAGTGGCATCCAGGTATCAGAAAATGCATGGTTTCCATTTTTGGATGGCTGATTTGTTTTAAATCTGGGTTGGCTCCTCTTCGGTTTTGCTATAGGCCTTCCTTTCTATCTACAGCTCACACCGGCTGCCTTTGCACCCATCTTCATCCTCGAGCGGCACCGATCTATATATCATTACAGCCAGCCTCAACAATGAAACCAACACTCCAAAACAACACCAAGATCGACCAATACTGGCACAACTCCGGCCCCTGCGGCCTCATAATCCGCACCGCACTTCGCACCCTCCAGTTCACCTTCGCCATAATAACCGCCGCCCTCTACGGCATCGACCTCACCCACTCCACCGCAACCTCCGCTCCCGCAGGTTCTGAATGGATCTACGCCGAAGTTGTCGCCGCCCTCTCCGCAATCACCTGCATAGTGCACTGCTTCGCGACAGTCACCCGGGTCGGATGGTGTACTTGGGACTTTGTGCTGTTTGTGCTGTGGATGGCGCAGACGGGTGTCTTTGGGAATATTTACGTGAAGAAGGACATTGAGGGGGATTATGTGCAAGCTACAGAGAGTTTGGGGAGGATGAGGGCAGGGGTATGGATTGGGCTTGTTTGTATGGCGCTTTGGTTGGCGACGTTTGTGCTTGGGGTGGGGTGGTGTTGTAGGACGAGGAAGGTTGTTAGGAGGACGGACAAGGAACAGAAACAGGAACAGAAACAGGAGAAGGTTGGGGATGAGGAGAAAGGGTTGATATATGCTGAGAGCGACACCGATTATATAAGTGAGGGCGACAGTATCAGGAAGGCGGAGAAGGGTGAGAAGGGCGAGAAGGGTGCTAAATATTAAACAAGATCTATTCTATTTTACATGCCCTACATCTTTGGCGCATATCCCGCAATCGCACCCGGAGAAACCACCCACCACTTATAATCCGTCCTCTGCCGTTAAGCAGCGCTTGTAAATTTTTTATGGGGCTATCATCCTTTACCCCTGGTAGATATGTATACCATGATGTCATATCTCCGTGGGGTGACCATTCAAGGGCCCCGCATACATGAAAACTATACAAATACGCCTAGAGTATGTGCCATGTAGCGTGGAATATGCGTGTAGTCACTGTGAAATGTGCACTCCGTGGTCCATAGAATATACTGAAACAAATGCACTGCCTAACGCCGCGCATCATGAGCCGATCTATATCATGATGCATGGTTACATCATAGCTCTGAACCTAGATGTAAATAGCTCGCTATTCCGTCTGAGATCAATTACAACCATCAGCATAACACTACTATATACAATCAGACAATATGAGTACAGCAGTCGACAAGCAAGAGCTTTTTCGGTGTGTATTCCCTGCTCAACATATACGACCGCACTCTAACCATCAACTAGCCTCGGAGACTGGATGCCCACAGACCCCAGCGTCCAGCAAGAATGGCTCGCAAAGGTTGTCACTGATGCAGACAACAATCCTGACGACCTCCACCCCGTCCTCCGTGAATTCGGCGAACTCATCGAGTCCGACTCCGTCGTGAACGACCTCTTCATCTCGACTTTCAAAGAACTCCCGAACAAAACCCTCTTCAGCACCAGACAATCCTCGAAATCCCCTCCAATCCGGGACTACAAGCATTTTCTACAAGTTCTGAACAAGCTTCTCATGACTGCACCGACATGGACTGACGTGAACAACCGAGTCGGGGTGGTGGGGATGCCGATCAACGCGGTCCTCGACTGGCCGCTTGGCGCCTCGAGCGGACTCACGACGTTTCTCAACCCCGCCGTGAACGGTATGATAAAGAAGGTTCTTACAGCATGGGGACAATTTCTCAAGTCACCCGAGTCGGCGACTGTCCTGAACGACACGGCGACCGGGTGGTTAGGGGAGTCGGCCATGAAGGCACTCACGGAAGCGGCGAACGTGAACGGGAAGAATTACGGGTTTGACGAGGTGTATGTTTGTGATGCAGCGGAGGTATATTATGGGTTCAAGTCTTGGGATGCGTTTTTTACGAGGGCGTTGCGGGAGGGCGTGAGGCCTGTTGCGGGGGCGGATGATTCGAATGTTATTATTAACCCGTGCGAGTCGAGGCCATATAGAGTCGCTCATGGCGTTGGTGGTGGTGAGAAGTTTGATGTCAAGGGTACGCAGTATTCTCTGCCGAAGATGCTGGGGGACGATCAACTTGCGCAGCCGTTTATCGGTGGTACCGTGTACCAAGCTGCACTCAGTGTCCTGGGCTATCACCGCTGGCACGCACCGGTTAGTGGAAAAGTGTCAAAGACATACATTATTGAAGGCACATACTACGACCAAAACTGCATCAATACCGGGGGCAGTTTCCTCTCCAAATTACCCGGAGCAAGCTTCTTCGGACAAGGACAAGATGCCGACCCCGAACCTACGGATGTCACGGCCACAGCCACACGAGCGGTAATCCTGATCGATTCTGATAATCCGAAGATTGGACAAGTAGCTTTCCTGGCAGTCGGACTGGCAGAGGTATCAACATGCGATATTAAGGTCAATGAAGGTGACACTGTGAGCAAAGGAAGCGAACTTGGAATGTTCCACTACGGTGGATCAACTCATTGTTTGATTTTCGGGCCAAAAACCAATCTCCGCTCTTTGCCTTCGGAGTTGGGGGATACTTTGCCTGTCAATGAGCAGTTGGCGGTTGTTTCTTAGTGGCCTTTAGTGGTTGTATAGTGATGTATTTATGCGCTACGTACTATATAGTTCAATCGGATTTTATGAATTTAAATTTTGGCATTTAGGGATTTAAGGGAGTCTATTCTTACGTTGCACCATTCAATTCTCTCCAACCGCCCATCTGAAGGAGCTCGCTTCACCGTCTGCCAATTGATCCTCATCAAGGCAGTATCAACTCAGACTGCATCTGTCCGTGAATTCAAATTGAGTCCAATTCCACTATTGCTCCGAACATATGCATAGATGATACAGAAGAGTACCGTCAAGCTGATCACTGGACTATCATTTTTACTCTGGATGCCGCTTGTCTGCTTCTGGCTCTTTGCTTGTGCGATGCTGCAACACACTATATGTACGCTGGCTTACAGTACCGTTCCAGAGCATCACGACCGGTCCTTTGAAAGAAATCCCCAGAAAAAAATTAGCATACGAAAATCTGGCTTTTTGCTGAAGATATTGGGACTCAGTGCGAGAGACGTTATAGACTAGTCACTTTCGACGATCAGACAACATACATTTCACCCAGCGATTCTGTGATAATGCAAGAGGGCCCATACATTAGTCTATTGAGCAGAGGTCAGACTCTGGAATTGAATGATTCATGAGTGCAGACTATCTGCCTTTTGCTGGAAGCTTCATGCATTAAAGTGCAAATCGAGACAGAATCAATCACTTGATTCCTCGCTGTAGCTAGACTTCTCACTTCTAGTCTGTGAAGGGCGAACATGATGTAAACCTACTAGTCACACTTTTTATATACAATAGACGCCCACAACACCCTGTAATAAATCAAGCCGTATGCCCCAGCTCTGGTTCTTCCACTTGTTGGTGAATCTCTCCGTTAAGAGTTGTCCGCTTCCTGGGATGTTCTAAAGGATATGAAAATTAAAGCATCATAATCGTGAACCCGCACATTACTTAATATCCCGATAGTCACAGCGAAAGCCACTACTTAATTTATCCGTACATCCACTGGCCAGCGAATCGCTGCATCACAATATGGTGCGGTTTCTAAGCCGTTTCGAAGAGAATGTAGGTTGGCACAGGGAAACAGATTGTGGCTGTGGAGGGTGTGTTTCCTTGCTCATACAGAAGCAAATTCCAGCCGCTGTGCGTCATTACTCTTGTATTAATCAAGCGATGAAGCTTCTGGATCCTTGGGTGGTGGATGGGGAAGGAGTTTGGTGCTCGTAGTTTGAGGGCTGTTTAACGGAGACAACCCGTTGGTATTTGATACATTCAGGCGGGGTAACAGAGGGACATTCGACTCTTCGATACCCATAATGCGAGCCTTTATCATGAGTATAGTTTTTGCGTGCCTTGTAAATAATTTGCCTGCGAGTAGGGAGGCCAGTTAACAAAGGACTGATTGGATGATGTGGAATAGGGCTCGTTGTGTGCACTTGCTTAGAACCAAATAGAAAGCCATAAAGACGGTGGCGGTTATAGAGGTAGGGAAAGAAATATGAGGGCTTCGATTGTCTTGCTCAAAGTGAGCAGTAATGTCAGTTCAAAAGATATCCTCAAAAAGGTCACCTATAATATAGCTTCACCCGTACTATCACGCATTTACAGGCATCTAGTCAAAGATTCTTTCAACCTTCTTCATCAAATCATCTATATCCTCAATTTCAAGCCTCATTTCTTCTAACCGCGCATTGATAAGCTTATACTTCTCCATAGACTGCTCGAGATATTCGCATTTTATAAATTGCTGTCTCTCTTCCAGCTTTTGTGCCTTTTCTTGGACGAAGACTTTAAACCTTTTGATGCCATAGATCCTGAATGCCACGTCTAATTGGTTTCTGGTGGTTATACAATCCGAACTTATAGAGAAAGCTGCTCAATTTGGTCTCTGGAAATACCATGGTCGAACTATCGAAGATCGCATATTCGTCTGACTCATATTCTTCATTGTGCTCCCCATAACCTTCTTCTTCACCCCAATAGTCGATATTACGTATCCAATGTTAAATACCCGTCATCGATTGGGATGCGCCAGCCGCTTGGCTTTGCCATCATTGAGTCGGTTGCGGTAGTTTCGTTGCCATCACTGGTGTGGACTTGAAGAAAAGTATCTCTGCAATACAGGGGGCCCATAGGAGGATAGAGTTGCCAGGATTGACGGGTTGCTTTAGAGCATATGCTGCCATTATTTATTTTTTTATGCTGCTTATTGAACTGGTATGTGAGGGTGATAGATTTGGATGAAAAGTTGGAGGCAGAGCTAGTCAGCTGCACAGTGATGATCTTGCTACTACAACACTACTATCTGGTTTTTCTGCGAACAGCATACACCCCCATGACAGTATAAACAGTGCTAAAAGAGACACACTTTGATAATAGGAAATTGCCGTAGTTCCCTATATATTAGCTTTCGATATTGATTAGAATCAAGTTCAGGTGTCACGGAGTACGGACATTCACCAACAACGCAAGATGTTTGTATACTTTGGCCTGTTTGAATATAGGGCAGAAACCCCCTTCGCACACCAGATAACGCAGCGCTGGCAGGTCCAGCTTCTTTCTTTCCTTCTCCATGCTACTATTTCGATATAGAGTCTACCAATAAATTTATATTGTTCAAGACCGTCATATCAAGGATCTGACTGTCAGTCTATCTTGCTATCATATACAACTGATCACATTAGGTAAATAGACTATCATACACCTTATCTCCCTTTTGCTGGGATATCCTGCGTCACGCAATGTATGCCACCCCCATTGAGTGCAATCTCACCAAGGCATATCTGAATCACCTTTCGCTCTGGAAAGAGGGTTTGAAGAGCATCTTTAGCCTTATTATCAGCCAGATGGTCTCCAAATCTTGGAATAATGATCGCGTCACTTATAAGCAGAAAGTTCACATAACTCAAACACAGCTCTGGGTTGATAGGCTCAAGGCGTCTACCCGCCTTAGGAAGATCAATAATCTCAAACTTCCGCCCTTTGGCATCTGTAGCCAGCAATAATATTTGCTTGGTTGTTTCATGAATTGTCGTTAACATGTGTCTGTTTGGCCCGGGATCATTCAAGACAACTCTCCCAGGGGCGACAAAGCGGGCCCAGATATCAATATGAGCATCGGTCACTTCGTAGTCCTTCAAGCCTGGAACCCAGATAATCTTGAATATGCCTAGAAGCTGGCGAAGCTCTTTCTCGATAGTCCCTTGACTGATATTGGCGTTTCGGTTGGGGTTAAGGATGGAACTGTCGGTTACCAGTAGCGTTCCTTCTCCGTCTGTTTCCAGGGCTCCGCCTTCCACAACTATTGAGGTTTCCACTCGGGGAATGTTGCTGTCGGCCAGGAACTGTCTGGAAAGGCACGCATTGCTGGCCGAGAAATACTTCACTCCCCATCCGTTGAAATTGAAGTCGATCCCATGGAGGTCCGAATGGGACGGTCCTTCAGCGAACACGAATGTCGGCGCAATGTCGCGCATCCAAATCTCCAGATCATTCATATTGGTAGGTTTAATTTCTACTTCGTAAGTACCGCAGCCCTGGAATGTTGTCTCTGCCTCGGAGAGGTCTTTGGAATGAACCAGTATGGTTACAGGCTCATAATCGCTTATTATTGTAGCAATTGTTGAGAGTTCGGTCTTGACTTTGGAAGTCTCATTTTCTCCGTAATTTGGGTTTTCGGGCCGGGCCATGCCATGAGTATCGCTCCAAGGTAATGACCCCCTTCACGAGGTCAAAAGAATTCTGGGGTGGCCATAGCAACGGCAAATCCGGGTCACGACTGCAGAACAAGGGCGCGCAGTGCATTGGTTGACATATTAATATCAGAAAGCACTATTATAACTGTGATAGGACTACACGCTCTTATAAGAAAATAAGACGTCACATCCAGAAACCATGGCAATAGTGCTACGGAATGCTGCTTTCGTGCAATACCGCATTCGGGTATACCCAAAGGATGTTAAGCAGCTGCATATACGGATTCCAAGTAGTCGATCATGTCATAATCTATCATATCTAGGCCTCGCCAAACCCGTGGGCTGTCAGAAAGAGCAAACATAGTGTGACGGCCTGGTCACGTTGTCTGGCTATCACGTGAGATGCAGTTGTTTGCTTTGTTATAAATACGGCGTCACCTCCTTTCTTCCTTCCTCATGTTGATTATTCTCGTCGATAGCGACCTAGGTAGAACCCATGAGTTGGATGTTCCATTATCCTAGTAGAGCGCCGTGACACATAGGGAATCCCGTGACTTGCATATTTTATGCCGTTTCTGGCTGTATTTAATAGCATTAGGATTACATACGGGTATTCATTCAATCAAGTTTATTGTCCATATCGAGCCCTAAAGCTAGACCGCGGCAACTCCCATGGGACTGAAAACAGTGCAAGCATTGTGGCTTGCATAAAATATGCATTTTCCGGTTGTATTTTTAAGTATATACATTACAGGCCTCGCGACGACTCCAAATCCAAAGACGAGATTAGAATGAGCTTGATTAGATCTAGTTGAGGAAAAAAAAAAAAAAAAAAAAAAAAAAAAAAAAAAAAAAAAAAAAAAAAAAAAAAAAACTACATTTGCCCTATTTCATAGACATTGACATAGGTCGCCCACAGATCGCCCATAGACACCTAAAGACACCTTATTTGGCCTGATTCTTTTGCATAAATCGCTGATCCATCTAAATTAATTACTGTTTTTTAATGCTTGTTTTGGTCCAAACACTTACCATCACCACCTTCTTGTTATGGGGTTCTCGTACGAACCCAAAGGATGGCAGTTTGGCTAAG